CCCTTCTCTTGATTCAGGATTCAGTTCAAATATCACTTTCCCAGAGAAACTTTCACAGGTAACCAAAGTAGCTTCAACACTCATATCTCAGTTTTATTTCAACTGAAGCACTTTTCATCAGAAATTTTCAGAATTACCTTGATAGCCCAATTAGTTTACTCTTTAATCATCTGTCCCTTCTGACAAGAATGTAAGCGATGTAAGGGTGAGTTATATTACTCTGGTTCATCATTCTTATCTCTAGCAGCTAAACTGCTCCTAACTCCTAGTACACGCTCTTTCACATCTGTGAATTGCATGTGTTACAAACTGCTACTAAAATACCCACAAAAATGCTCCTACAATCAAACTCCCTTTTACACAGTGTAGACCATGGTGGTAGCAAGTTCTAAATTGTTTGAAAAGAGAATAAACTCGGTTATATGAAATGGGGCACAGATGAAGTCTGGATAACGCGTGATTCAATCCTCAGCAGATGGCGTCCATATTCCGACAATGGAATTGCAACATCACCCACCAGTTTTGCTTTTTATCTGTCTCCTGCACTTGAGTTTGAGCATCATAAGGCGGGTACTTTCAGTTCCTCACTGTTTTGCCCATAATGGGTAGAGCAGTGCCAAGCACAGAGAAGCCTCTCAGAAATCTTTTTTAAACGAATGAATGGAGGATAAACTTAAGAGTTTTGTCATCAGTTGGGTATAAACTACTGTCATACGTCTCACTCTTGGTTCTAATAACTGCTAAATCCTAACGATGTCAAGTGTAATAATGCAATATTCTCTTAATTATCCAAATGTGAGATTACATAAATGCTTCTGTTTCAATTTTTAACCATTTTCTTTGTACCTTTAAATACCTCTCTAGCTCCATGAAAATGGAAAATTAGGATATAAAACCAGAGATAATCAGGGAGATCGTTTCATAAACTATATAAATGTCTAACCAATGTACTGTATACTTGAAACTAATAATAAAATTAAATTAAATAAAAAGAGAGATAGACTATAAGCTCCAGGAAGAATAGGAACAATATAACTGTTTTTGCTCACTATTGTATCTCAAGCATCTAGGCAGTGCCTTGCTTGTACTAAATGCTCAAGAAACAATTTTTAATGAATAAACAACCAGTGGAAAATACCTCTCCTAGCAGATGCAGCCAAAGTGCGATAATAAGCCAAAATGCTGCCCCAAATATGCCTTTCTTAAGGAACTAGATAATGTGGAATTACTTTACTTTGTTGACTCTATAGGAGCATATTTAAAAAATAATAATAATAATGTAATATTTTCCTACAGTAAGTACAATGTAGATACTTTCCTACAAGTACATACAATGGAAGTCTCTGAGAAGTCTACAAGTCTGTAGTTTAGAATTCAGTATAATATGCAACTGTACATTTCTGTCTCTTCAATGAGCTCTAATCCATCAAACTTTCTAAAGCAGCCATTCATAAAAAAAATTACTCACACTGATTCGGCACTGAATCATATACAAGGAATATTATTTCACTTGAAAGCAAACATGTTCAGAAGTGATGACATAGATTAAGCTTTTAAATGCTAATCTTATCTCTTCCCAAAGCATTGGTTGACTCTGATCTGTCATCCCTACTAGAGCAGGCGAAAAAAAAAAAATACTCATAGAACTAAATCCTTTATGTCATCCAGATCGTTTCTAGTTTGAATAAAAAATAAAAACAGCTACCTTCTCTTCAAGGTAATACAGGCATAGTATTGCTGCTCCCTCTTACATGACTTGTTTTTTTTATTCCAGTTTTCCATGGATATCATGGAGTTTTGCTTAGCATTCTTTATAATACCACCACATAGGAGGAAACTCCAAAATCAGTAGAGAAAGGAAGAAGCACAACAACAACAAAATGGAGAAGACGTTTTACAATGTATCAGGATATGAGTACTGGAATCGCACTTTTTATTTTTATTTTTTTAAAAAGATGCTGAGTTAATCTTCAAAGTAAATGTAAACTATTTTGTGTTTTGAAATTCTGCCTCAAAGATGACTCAGGAAGATTATCAATTATGTTTCCTAGTTTAAAAATCAAAAAAAGAATATGAAAAAATGTATCTTAAACCAGGGGTCCCCAACCACCGAGCCACAGACTGGTACTAGTCCGTGGAGGCCTGTTAGGAACCAGGCCACACAGCAGGAGGTGAGCTTCATCTGTATTTGCAGCCGCTCCCCAGCACTAGCATCACTGCCTCAGCTCCACCTCAGATCATCGGGCATTAGATTGTCATAGAAGCACTGGTTCCTGGTGCCAAAAAGGTTGAGGACTACTGCTAAACCCTCAAGTCCTTACTCTAAGTAATGCTAAAGAAAAAAAAAGGAACTTTCTTCTTGGGGCAGAAAAGAGGGTTGAATAGGTAACCATCTCGTGACAATCCTTTCGGCATCTTTTCAAACCAGCTGCTTTACTGAGGAATCAAATGAGGATGGAGAAATAAATGTAAACAGGGAGACCACTTGGATAGCAAAGAGATTCTCTCACCATATAGGAGAATAGGGATCGACTTCCTCAGGAAATGAAGAGAGGACCTTGTGAGCAGTGAATCCAGCTAAATGAAATTTAAAAGATATGTTTCAGCTGCTGTATGAATTAAGTGTCCAATCTGCACAAACCATTTTACATATTTACTTCATTGCTTAATCTTTGTATGTTATCTCCTGTTCTCATTTATGGTACATTCTGGAGCTTTTGTTTACAAATTGAGGCAGGAGATGAGACTTTGATATCTGTGAAATACTATTATTTAAAACTTGAAAAGTGGTATAGGTTCCAAATATATTAATCTTTCAGTTCTACAACCAACCCAAGAACATTACCTAATTTAAAAAAAATAATAAATTTAAAAATGTCAGAACTTGGAAAACTTGGCAACAAGAGTATCCCCCAAATGAATTGTTTTAAGGATATAAAATCTCTAATGTTACTTTAGAGCAGTGTATTGTAAAATAGTACTACTATTGCTTTGGTAGCTTCTAATCTCAGATGAAATTTGTGAATTCTAATCACAAGTGAAATATGAAAACATCATTTCTTGTTAATCCTCAAACTTTCTCCACCACATTTAATATACCTTTGATCTTAAGTACCAAAACATCATTTTGGCCACATTTCTTAACCACATCTGTCTTAAATCCATAAATGCCATCCAGATGGGACCATCTAAAACTTCTGTCATATCTGTCTGTCATCACTTTCTAGATATATATTAAATACACATCAGTACCCAAAACTACATAACATGTTGTCCTTCTCCATTGCACTGCCTAACTATTAACTCATAAAAACTGTGGAAAGAAAATATGAAGGGAGGCATCTTAAAGGTGGGTGAGCTGGAGAGGAAGAATCCATGTACTATATTTATAACTGTCTCATTCAATATTATATAGCAAGAAAATCATCTTATCTAGGCAAAAAAAAAAAAAAAAAAACAGGAGGTTGATCCCAGCACTAGTAAGTACCAAGCAAGGGATTAGGGGGCGCACACGGGTCAGGTTTAAGGCTGACTAGTTGTAAAATGCTGAGCAACTTGTTCAACCTCTCTAAGCCCACCTTCCTCTTTCATAAAATGGAATAATGGCACTGCCACCCTCATAGGTGGAGAAAATAAGGAGAAATAAAGTGTGTGATACACGTAGCTCAGGACCTGGTACACTGAATGGGCATCAGAACCAGCATTTTCTTGGGTAGTAGTGGGGGCAATGAGACTATGCAAGCAGTAGCAGTCACAGCTTCCTGTACTAGCTGTAGCAACTTTACAGACAGCAGTGGACTTAACTGGGTTCTAGATGACAGTGTTCTGGAAACTCAGCCTATTCCTCTAGCCCTCCCAGTGGTTTTATAAGCCATCAAATACATTTCAATATATCTCATTCTGCTTAAACTAGCTAAAGTGGATTGTATTTTCTGCAACTAAACCTTCAGCAATACTAGGAGAAAAGAACCCAAGTTACTAAGTGTTTATTTCTCATAAAGGTTAGTCTAAACTTTCAAAATTCAAATTGTAAAATGAGGACCATGTTAAATATTTTTAAGAGCAATTTTTAATTGGCAATCCATGGGAATGTTAATGCAATTCTACTCTTGAAGCACAGAAAAGCATTTCCCGTTTATACACCCAGGACACGTTTCTCTGGATTACCTAACACCTGAAACACAGTAAAATGCCAAGGTCATTGCTTATGAAAGAGAAAATGTTTAGAATACAAGAACGTCAGGAAAGTAAGACACAGATTCAAGTTCTGGCTCTGTCTCACGCCGAAACCGCAAACAAATTATGGAGCCTCTCTGAGCCTCTCTGAGCCTCCTGTGGAATATTATTTCTTTGGATTTTTGAAAAATTGAAATATGACAATGTTATATAAGGCACCTACAACAAGAATGGCACATTACAGGTCATGACATGACTTGTTAATGCTACAGTTATTATTTTATCATCATTACTAATCCTTTCATTGTCGACTGCAGAATTAAAAGCTATGCTAACAACAAATGTCACAATTCCATAGATTCAAGATCAGTACGGGAAGGTGATGAAAACAGGTTATGAAACTGGCCCCTGAGCCTGGATTGGGTCGGCTCCCCCAAAGCAGGCAGGCTCATCTCCACCTGGTGCAAAAATGAGGCCAAACTGTTTGGGCAATGGGTGAATGTTAACCTCAACTGCAGAGTTTCAAAAGTCAACTTTAGCTTTAGTAATAAATCCAAAACAGCTTTAGAAAACACAGTGTGTTTAACTCGTGCCCAGAGAAGCAGTATTGAGTGGGGGGTCGGGAGGCAATGAGTCTTGAATCAGGCTGCCCAAGTTTTTATCTCTGTTCTGCCGCTGAGTAGCCTTGTGACCTCTGGAAAGTTATTTCATCTTCCTGTACTTTAGTTTCCTCACCTATAACATGTGCACAGTAACAGAACCCACCTCACAGCCTTACTGAGGTCTCAACAGAGTTATGTATGTTAAGGCACTTGGTGTAGTACCTGACAACTAGCACTACACTTAGCACTGGTGTCCTTTCAACCATACCTAGAACAAGCATCCCTAGTAATGTCATTTCCAGACTGGAAGTATGAAGGTTCAAGCCAAAAATCAGGACACCATCCTTGATTCTTTCCATTCCCCTATTTCCACATCCAGTCTACGTCTGTCAAGTCCTATCACTTCTAAGAGCAAAATAAATCTTGAAACATTCACTTCTGTCCATCTCATCGATACTAAGCTTCCTCACTCCTGCTTGGAAGACTGCAAAGACCCTCAAAAGAGCCTTCGCCTTTATGCTTCTACTTATACTAACAGTATGGTCTTCTAGGAATATAAAAATCACTGCCTGCGTAAAATTCCGAATGCCTTTCCAATACATCTACAATGAAGTGTGAACTCCTGACCATGACCTACAACACAGTATGTAATTGAAACTTGCCCACCTCTAGGTCATTCTTTCTTGATGTTTGGTGTTTTCCAGAAATATGAACCTTTCAGTTATATACTCAAAACCAAGAAGCTCACCTCATTCTTTGAAAAAAAAAACTAATAAATAGGCCATACTACAAGGTTGCATAACTATAAAATAATATCATAACTTTGAAAACTTGGCTCAAAAGAGTTTTATAAGTTTTTAACTGACTTTTGTAAAAAATACAATCTCTATATAATGTTACTTTAGAGCAGTGTATTATAAAGCAGTAGTATTATTGCCTTGGGTCACTAACATAGTGGCTTCACAAGTGAAATATGAAAACATCATTTCTTGTTAATCCTCAAACTTTCCTCCACCACATTTAAATATACCTTTCATCTTAAGTACCAAAACTTCATTTTGGCTACATTTCTTAACCACATCTGTCTTAAATCCATAAATGCCATCCAGATTGGGCTGTAAAACTTCTCATATTGTTATAACTGTCTTTCATCACTTTCTGAAGATTATACACATCAGTATCCAAAACTACACAACATGCTGTCCTTCTCCGTTGCACTGCCTAACTATTATCCCACACAAATGGTGGAAAGAAAATATGAAAGGAAGCATCTTAAGGTGGGTGAGCTGGAGAGGAAGAACCCATGTACTATATATATCAAGGAAATCATCTTATCTAGGCAAAAATTTTAAAAAGGAAGATGACCTCATCACTAGTACCAAGCAAGGGATTGAGGTGGGCACACGGATCAGGCTTAAAGCTGACTAGTTGTAAAATGCTGAGCAACTTGTTCAACCTCTCTAAGCCCACTTTCCTCTTTCATAAAATGGAATAATGGCACTGCCACCCTCACGGGTGGAGAAAATTAGGGTAAGTAAAGGGTGTAATACACTTAGCTCAAGACCTGGCACATCAAATGAGCACTGGAACCAGCACTGTCTTTATCATCATCGATAGTACTATGTCCTAAAATCTTTCTGGCTCATAAACCCTTTACACATCGTGAATTAGCAAGCACCAACTGGCACTTGCCATTCAACCACTGTGTTATTTCCTTAGAGATGGCCAGCAACTCGCTCCACCCTCATCTCTTTTGAATCCCCGGTCTCCACTCTCTGCTGTAACCCAAGCGGCTCATTTATCATTTCTCTCTCTCTCCAACAGAATTGTATTTGAACTGCATGCACAGTTATATTTATTTCTTATCGACATCAATGCATAATAGTAAGGTTCTAAAGCTCCTCCTACCTTCCAAATCATTCTCCTTGCTGTCACCCCACATATCAACTGAGGTCAGTAGGCATAAAATTGCTAAGTACCCAGATCCATGCTTAGAATGCTGATAAACGTTTGGAATGTTGACAGTAAAAGATTCAGTCAAAAATACATCTGGCATGATTCATTAACTCATAATTCGGTTCAGAAGATCTTTACCAAGATTTTGTAGCTGTGCCACCAGCTGGGGATGGCAACATAAGGCAATTTAGCCAGGTAAGTAAAAAGATAATTTCAGTATGTTTTAAGTATAGAATTTTTCAATGCTATAGGAGCAGAGGTAAGATCAGTAAACAGAGGGAGTAGCGGCGAGGAAGAAGGGAAAACAGATATTAAGGAGGGCTTCCAAGAGGAAGAACCATCTTGGCTGGACAACTGGAGAGGCTGTTAGGGCCCTTGAGACTAAGGGCAGTGTGGTGGGTATGTCACTGTACCACTGCTCATAGTTAGGTGACATTGCAATGAAATTTACCATTCAGGGAGTGGTGGACATGAGCACTAACCAAATCACAGACAACTTTGTATAACTGTTGAGGGTTTGGACTTTATACTACAGGCAATGCAGTCACTGGAGGATTTTAACTATGGTAGTTACATGGTCAAATTCCATTATAACTCTAGATTGTATGCATTAGAGAGAATCTTTAAAATTACAGAATTCACTATTCGTTTTGTTGGATAATGAAATAAACGTCCTCATGGGGACTAAAATCATGTATCAACACCACACAGATTAATCTAGAACATGTGTTGTCAGCAAGTTCTTCTTCAGACTTTCCGGCATCACCCCTCAAATTCCAGGGCACACATTTTCAGGGAAAGATGCAGACCTATCTCTTTGTAATCCAGCTCTTCTCCTCAGCA